GATTATAGATTATAGATTATGGATTATAGATTATAGATTATAGAATATAAATAATAAAATATGACAACTGCATAAATACCGCTATCTGACTAGACTTTATATTTTTTCAAAGTAACTACACACTCCTCTCGTCTGCTGCAGCTTTTGTAAAAGTCAAGCAGCCAACCCACGCGAGAACGATAAATATTATCTAAAACCCTCTCATGAATACTCTAAACGCCTCAACACTCAATATCGTCCAAATGAAAGAGAAAACAAGTAATATACAATCCATTAAAGAGCTCACTTGACCTTCAGTGTAAACAGCTGCAGAATTGCGATAATATCATGTCCATGGCTTGTCTGTCAACACAATAACACGTAGAACGAATTTATTTATTATTGATAGACGAGTGGCAGTTGGCAATATGACAACAGTACAATATCGCAAAATAGCGAGCCAAAACTTATTGTGCACAAACGAGTTGGTATGTGCCCACACAAGCACTCACCAAGTTAGCGTCCACGAAAAAACTTATGTTTATACCAAAGGCACTAGCCATATATATTACTGCCGTTGTAAGGACAATGCCAGCAACCAACTACTATCAACATCCTATAATCGAGATGGGTATTATAAATATCAAATGGAATAATCATTGCCTACATTTAGGCGAAGGCACCCAAAAGTTTCAGTAATATAAGCATTCGAATGGCAGATGAACCGATATCAAAGTAGTGGCAGAGCAGAAAACAACAAAACAGACGCCAGGCAAGACAATAAACTGCAAAGAGCGCTTAGTATTACATTCAAATAAGCCCGTTATTGTGCTGAATATGGCTGCCGGGCATTTGAGCAGACAACAAGCAACTTGATCCAGTATTTTGCTTATAGTCACAATACAATATATGCACTGCCTATGTACATTTATTATGTACTAGTAGCGCGTGGAGCTTAGTCTATATCCTATTTTCAAATAACGGCATATGTTATATTCAAAGCCGAAATAAATATGGCTAAAGGCGAGCACGAATTGTAGGGTTTGGCTAGTGCGTGCGTTTGGATTGGTAGTATGTTTATTGGTTGCCTCTCAATGCCACTTTAGTGTGCGCGTGAGTGTGCATTTTGTATTATTTGGACGGCAGTTTTAGTTGGCAATATTGGTGTAGTTAAGTTATGTATATATGAATAGCTGATGTAATCTTGCAAAATTCAGCACAAAACCTTGTTAGCCGTAAGCCATTGTATATTATAATATTAAAAATAGTATTCGAGTGTTTATTTAAAGTTACAAAAATTACCTGAAAAATTACAAATCAAGGTTTTTTACGGTAAAATCGTAGACAAGACTTTATGCAACAAAAATATGCTAAATCATTCATTCACACTTCTAAATAGTGGATACATAAATTTAATATAGTCTAAAACTATATTCGTCGGGTTTTGTTTTCATAAATTTAACGGTTTTAAAGGAAATCGTGTTCAATTTTTTTTTTATTGTTCATTTTTCTGGCAATTTTTGGATTCCATCTCCATAGAACTGCACCGGCTTGACGCGCAAGAGTTATAAAGCCAATTTTTGAAACTCGCTGCGGATGTGAACCACATTCAAGTGAGGCCATGCTACATGCAGTTTTGTGCTATAAGGCGGATGCATAAAAGTTGGCAACCGCTGTTTTCCCAACAGTTTTTAAACGGTCCTGCAATGTGTTATCATGATGAAAATGTATTGCCTCATCTCAAATTCCGAATGTTTTTTAGCGATCGCTCTCTTTAATTTCATGAGTAATTGTCGCTAGGGTTCTCTATTGAGAGTTTCATCCATTTTTAGCAGCTAATAACATGGCTAATAATGCAGCTTGCCCTTTTCATCCTTTTTTCGTAACCAGTCAAAATCATATTCTCGGCTATAACCGCATAACCAGTGAGCACTCCAATAAAGAGGAAGAAGTCAAATTCCTATGCAAAAACTACTTCCTTTGAAGCGCTCATATACACAATCGTCTTTCAACGTTTCCTGGTTAATTTCCTTGCTTAACAATATATATGGCTGTTTTTGAATATTTTTAAATGACCGTTCGAGTGACTCTCATATATTCTGCGAGCACTTATTATGTTTGTCAAAGTCTTCAGTATTATTAAATGGATCGTCTCAGTGTAAAATTTTCGAGAAATCGATTTGATAGTATACACTATAATAAACATTTTCTCAAATTTTGAAATCGAAATTCAAATTAGTATGGTTGCCACAGTACTTCTTGTAGAAAGCGAAGTGAGGAACATAGCGACTCCAATTTTTAAACGCGCTTTTTTCAGAATCTAGTTCCAATTTGCAGGACCTTGTTTTACGTCATTCGCTTCCGGCTATGTAAGCATATATTTCTTTTTTCAAAAAATTTAAAAAAAAAACAAGAAAAGGTTCCATAGCGTGATAGCGACTTTAACACAGATTAATAATCTTTATGAAATTTTTGGTTTGGACCCAAATTGCGACCGCAATCGTGAACATCTTACAGGATCTTTTATTTAACTATTATATACACAATAAAGAAACAAAAAAAATTAGTTTGTATCTGTCAAGAATTTATTTATTTAAAAAAAAGTATTAGCCCGATTAGTGAGTTTCAACCTTAGACAAAATCGCGAAAATCAGTGATTTTTCAGAGGGTCACACTGAGACGATCGATGCCTTAATTGAGCTTCCTCGTCTTCAAATTTTTTGGCCAACCATGACGGTTTTCGTCTTCTCAGCCAAAATATCCACTTTGAAGTCGTCTAAACCACTTTTGGCACATTCGTCAGCTGAAGGGGTTTCAACATAAACTTCCACGAAATGTTATGACATGCGGTTATGTTTTCATCATATTAAATTAGTGAAGAAAAGCTGCCACAAAAATCTTTTTTCATGCTAGAAATTTGACATATTTGAGAGGAAACAAAAAAACGTTAACTTCGATTGCAGCGAAGCTATAACACCCTACACAGATTCCCTTAATGCTGATTGTTTACATGACGATTTCTGATATATTAAACTTCGTGATGCTACCTTTTCAAATCAAAAACTTTTATATATGTAGAAGGACTTGAGTTGGATCGGTCAGTTTATACGTCAGCTAAATGTTAGAGTTGTCCGCTAACGTTGGTTACGACGACAAATACGCAGCTCCTTGGCAAGAAGCGAGCGTGTGCAAAATTTCACTGAAAGCTTAGGCGTGTTCAGGGTATACAATTTATTGTTTACACTTCAAATTAATGTCAAATGCTGAAAAAAGATACACAACACAGCAGCTTTCCAAACACATGTTTGGAATATTGAAGTAATGGAATAATCAAGCAACGCCATCTCTTGGCGGCTAGACCTAATATGTTTAAAATTAATTTTATTTATTTGTGTTGAAATACTTTACACCGATTTTTCTTAACTAATCAGAAGGTACCTGTATTTTTTGCAACGGACTACAAAACATCTAGTATTCATTAATCATACAACCGAAAATTAGCAGCCATCGAAATAAACTCTCTATTAATTGCTCAAATGTTGTTTAGTGGTTTCTTATTTTCAGCTCTCTATATAAATTAATATGAGTGCATCCGTATGTATGCCTGAATCCCGTATAATTTTAATAAGTGTATTTAAAATTAGCTTTCATTGATCTTAACGAAAGACCCTTTCATTGACTTATTTTCACTAATTTATTCGATATTCAACTTGGCATTTTATTTCACATTTTGTCAAATTCAGCCACGCCTAAACATTTTTTGATCTTTTGCAATAAGTTTTTTGTCTGCAAAACCAATGCAACTTTCAGAAAGTGAGACTTTTGTACAAAATTTTCCGCTCTAAAAAAATAGCTTAATAATTTTTTTCATAAGAATAGTATTTTAAAAGTTATGCGCAGTTAAAGTTAAGCAGCAATTGCACTGAATCATACAGTACACCATGTCGTATGAGTAACACAGAGTGTGGTATAAATCACTTGAATGCATGCACAGCTCATTTGATGTATAACTCCTAAAGGCATCGTTGTATGGGAAAACTTATCAAAATCTTTTTGGTGGAGTGAACAATTTTGTATTAGAATATCACTTTTGGAAATTTGTGGATTCACTTACTTTAAGTAACATATCAAAAAAATCCGTATTAAACACACACGGAAAAGAAATAGTATTAAGGGACGGTTCATATTGAAAATAAAGAGCGTATTTGCTTTTGATCCTTTTTTGGAAAAAAAAAACGGAAACTTAAACTGCTATTTGCAAAAAACCGATTACTTTCGGAAAGTACAAAGGTTTTTATGACTTTCAGTGAGATTTTTAAAATTATGAGCGAAGTCTCACCATTTTGCTCATAGTAGTTTGTAAATATACTTGCTAAGCCGTTTATACAATTTACCAAAGTTTTTATTAGTATCTGTAATTTATGATTCGCACATTCATTTTTGTGACTACCGTAATTGCATATAAAACCAGCAACTTGATGTATTTAACTCAAATAAATTAAATATTATTTTTCATTTCTCAAACTCCTCATTTCGTACGCTCTGATTTAATTTGTATCACTTATTTGCCAATTTGTGTTAATTTTCGTTATGTTGAGATGAACATACATACACCAACTATAACACAGCGGCCCTTATATACCGTTAAGAAATGCCTAACCCATATTTAATAATGAACTTAACCACAATGAAACCTTCTACCTAACAGTAAAACACACACAAATAATTTTGTAATTTCCAAAACAGCATATTTCATATAAATACCGTGGAATAATGTATGTATAATTAACTAGTGATTATATTATATAGGAGCATAACAGCCCTAATGCTCTTGTTCCTCATTTAACTGCAACGAAAAATATTTTAATCAAAAGCATTTTGTAAATACGCCTAAAATTAAACCCAACGTGTCTTATACTAAATATATAAACAATACAGTTATTTTTTATATTTATATTAACTTGATACTAAATTGTTTATTTTTGCCCTCTTCCTTCCTAACAACACAATTCATGATTTAGGAGCAAATTGCACGCGAGAAGCAAGTAAGTGGGCGCGCACAGCTGCAAGTTTGGTATAATGCCGATCGCAATGAGCTGGTTGTCTCACTAATGGCCGCCGATGATCTGGCTCTGCGCGATGAAGCCTACGGACATGGTAATCTGCCCGAGGCATATGCGAAGGTGCGCATTTTACCCAAATGGTAAGAGTCGAGAAAAAAATTTTATTTACAAATTTACTAAAATTTTGTAGTTTTTTTGATATTTTATAAAATTTGTTGGTCACAACTTTGTTTTGAAACAAAAGCTCATATCACATACTAATTTACTCATTTTACTAACTAAAATCTTTTAATGTATATACAAATGGGAAGTAGGCATTAAAATAGTGTCGTTTATAGTTAAATTTTCATTCGAAGCAGACGATTTTTTGTTATTATGCTATTTTATAGTCATTAAAAATATCGCCGTGACATGTCGTTTTACTCATTAAGCCATGCTACAGAATCAAACTTTATAACGAACGTATAAATGTTGAGTGAACATTATTTTTGCCTAAAATTCTGCTAAAAAGCTTACAATGCACACAGCGAGAACCAATCGCGCCAAAAAGTGCCGTTATTTTCATAAAGTCTAATACTTCGTCCAAGTCTTTAAAAATTGTATCTCAAAGCCCTATGTAAATTTTCATAATGATCAGTTGAGTAGTTCTCGAGAAATCTTTCAAAACACAATTTAGAGAAAAACAGCACACTTAGCCTAGCGAGTGCGCAAGTTTTCAAGGTTGTATCTGGAAATTAYTACTATATTATATTATATAAATATATTTATTAAAAAAAGTCCACAAAATTATTCTGGATGATCATAAAGTGAAGTTGCTGATATGTAAAAATGGATGAAAATTGGTTCATTTCACCCCGAGGTCCAATCGACAATCATCTACGATGAACCATCTATATTTTGAAATACTCATGGAATAATTTTTTTTACCACCATGAAAAAGAAAGGACCATCAACAGCGACTACATAGCGTAATTGAACCGTTTGAAGGACGAACGTCTTAAAAAACGGCCGCATTTGAAGAAAAAGAAAGCGCTGTTTCACCAAGCCAATGCACCGTGTCACACGTCAGTGAATGTCCGATGGCAAACCTCCATGAATTGAGCTTCGGAATGCCTCCGCACACACCGCATTCTCCAGATCTTTCCTCAAGCAAATATTTGCTGTTATCAGATCTGATAACAATACTCGTTAGGAAGAAATTTTCATTGAATAATGATGATAAGGAAGAGCCAAGTTCGGGTGCAACGGAACATTTTGTACCCTTGGAACTTGCAATAATCAAAGCCACCAGGGAAATACCTTAAGGTGCAAACCGGTATGGGATTTTACTTCTATGGGCAATTCAAGAGTTGGAATTAGGGAAATTCAACTGTACGCATATACCGTTATATGGAGAGCGGGTGAAGTTATTATCTGGTTCCATCCAGTTTCACGCTTTTGGTAATAGTTGTTATAGGAATTATCCTGAGCGAATTTGGCTATTGTGGCTTTAGTGATCCAAGAGATATGTGCACTAAACTTATTAGAAGGCGATCGAAACCCACTTTTTCAAATTTTTTAGCCCACTAGTGTCCCTTGCTATTATAATCCTTTATGCCGAGTTTTGTGGGCATGGCAGTAGTCCGGTTACGCCCATCTACAATTTGAATTGACCTTTAATGTTCCTTGACATTTGGTTGGTAATGTAGATGGGCGAAATAGAACCACTGCCACGCCCACAAAATACCATTAATCGAGTACTTATAAAATGACAAGCCTAGGCAAGAAACAGACATAGATTGAAACCATAATGTGAAAGCCGCTGAAATCGAATATTAACCCCACCCACTCACCTTTTAACTGTCTTATTAAAAATTACTAAAACTACTATAACACATTAATTAAAAGAAACACGTCAGAAGCATCACATACCATCAATGGTGAGGGAGGTGTCAAAATTGGGCTGTGGGTGTAGTTCCGACGCCTTTTAGTGAAATTTCATATCTCAGAACCTACTCAACTTATTCATACCGAATTCGGCACATAACACTAGTTTGACATTCTGTGAAATGGGGGTTAATAGCAATATAAATGCAGACGATTGACGTTCTGAAAGTCTAAATTTTAATCCATTGTACTACAGCTATTATTATAAAAAATGCACTTATTAAAAATTGTATTATAGTTCCATTTGTATAGCGGTCTGAGCTTGTAACAGAACTTATGGCAGATTCATATTACTTACATAATACATTCACATACTCACTAAATCGCAAAACTCACCAATACTAAAAATTATGGCCTAGTAAATACTAAATTACTTATACCCTTTACTTCCACGCAGCGGCGATGGCAGCGTGCAACAGACCGAAGTTAGTCATCCCACACAGAATCCCATTTGGAATGCAACGCTCACCTTTCAACACATAAATGCCGACAGCCTCATGGATCGCTACATTGACATACAGTTGTGGGATCTTGTACCCCACACCGAGTCCATATTTCTGGGCGAATGCAGTGTTGAACTGCAGCAGGCCTTTCTCGATGATCGTGCCATATGGTGTCGACTGGAGGATCCGAAGGGGCTGCGCGGCATCAGCATGTCAAAATCGCCGAGCGTCTCACCGCGCGGCTCCATTGCCGCCGGCTGTCCGGGCGGCGATGTAACACGTCTACTAAGACGCGATTACAATATGCAACGTTCGATATCGGACGATGTCGATTCGATCGGCGATTGTACCTCACTGCTACATCCCGATCACGCCTGGGTGGCTGGCTCACGGCGTGGTTCCTCGCAGTCGGAGACGCTCGAGGTCGAAGTATATCAATTGGGTAAAGATTTTTCACGTTCTTTACCCGGTTCGCGTCGCTCCTCATTTCAAGATCCCGACAAGATACGCGAAGAGGATGCTATGCAACCGCCACCAGCTTCGTATTATGTTGGCAGACGGCGTTCGTCGGTGGCGCGTCGCGATCCAGATGAAATATTGAAGTCATTGAAACAAGTGCGCGGAGAACTCGGACGCGCAATGAGTTTGGGCACGGAACAACAAAAGCGACCGGGATCAAGACGTAAGTAGCAGCTTAGTAGTCACCATGTAAAGAGAGTGCATGTGGAATATTTATAGAAAAAATTTACACTATGACAGACTAATGTCTGATTAAAAAAGCTGATAAACAAGATACAGTAAGGGAATTGAGTGCGTGAGTTCTTACGTTCCAAACTTTCGTATCGAAGACATATATCACAAACGACAATTGAATAACTTGCTGAATAGATTAAATTTAGTTAAATTAAATTAAATCAAATTATTATTTCCTGTAAAACCCATATTTAAAGCACAACCATTAATTTTCTCACGCTCTCAATTCTCTTAAGGGTAAAAAGATGAGATAAAGAATGAGAAGTATTTTCAAAACTAATTATTATTATTTTATATTGAAAAGCAAAATGTTTATGCAACACAATAGCTCACTTTAAATAGTAAATAATGAACACATAATATTTTCTAATATTTCTTTCTCTCTTTATTTTCTTCTTAATACTCTTAATTGTTGCACTCTATGCAATTTTCTTTTATAAATGCTTTTTACTGATTTTCAAACCCTTAACAAATGAAATTCTGTGCTTACTGCCACAAACTAATCACTAATAACTAACTAATCTTTCTCTCTTTCCCTCTTTCCCTACTAAAACACTAACTCTATCACGCTCTCACTCTATTGCTCACTTTCCAACACTGCCTAACCTCACACTCGCTCTGTCGCTCTAATCGTTTACGTCTGCTCCCCTGCTTGGTCGCTCATTTGCCACTTGTACCGCTATTTTACCGACACTCCTTTAGCCTCAATATCGGTGTCGCATTACCAAAGCTTAGACACCACGCCTTACATTTGGACACGCACTAAGTGAATGCGAATCATTTAAATTCAACACACTGAAAGTAAAATGCTTGTTATTAAAAATAAAACACAACAACAACTCTTGTTAACTAAATAAAAAGTGCTAAATAAATGAACTGTAAAAAGTAAAGACAAAAACCTAAATACAATAACAACGTTTAAACTAAGTATGCTACAAATATAAATGCGTGTGTAAAAACAAACTTAGTTTTTGCAACAGAATATGTTTACTTGCTGCAACAGAATTTTTATTTCGCTGCTGCAACTTCATCTGTATTGTACTCTAGAATTCACTCATAACAACAACAATAATCACACTACTTATTATTAAAAACAGTTCAAATTCCACAATTCCTACAACACAAAAAACAAGTCACCAAAAATTGATTGAATGTTTATAAATCGGGGAAAAACAAAACAACAAAAATAATTGCCAAATCAGAAAACTAAATTTAATCAGTAACAGAAACAATTAGTTACACAATGCCTACGCTCCACATCCTGTAGAATGCAACACTGCAATAAACAGTTACGAAATGGTAAGAGTGCAATTTTGACTTTTGTTTCCTTCCTTTGTTATGCCGTTGCTTTCAAAAACGTTTTTCTGAAATTACACATTTTTAAATTTAAACGTGTTCGCTTTCATTGTTCGTAATATTAAAGGGCACACCTAGTGTGACAACGAAAGTCAAGAAGACTTTTTGGAATGAAATTTTTTTAAACTATTACGAGTGATAAATTTAAGTAATTATATACAGTGAAAATGTTGAACAAAACACTTAAATACATTTCTAATTACTAACGAACTCTGAACCTAAAAAATTCTCTACTAGACGATATTGTCCGCACGACGATCTATGGACGAGAAGAATATCAAAAATTCTAAAAAATTTAATAGATCAAAAATGGTGGTAACCTTTTTTGGCGAGCCAAAATGCAATTTTTGATCATATCAAAAAACAATAGGAAGGTCATTGTATGGAGAACTATGCACAGAACACGATGAAAAATGCTAATGGTCAGAATATTTGTCTCTCGTAGGCTATAACTCGCAAACTTTCGAGCTACCGACTTAAAATGGTGGTATGTCGTTTTATACCTTCAAAGCCTAACCTATTAAAATATAAACGAACTTTTTTAACATATGAAGAATTTTATTGAAATTCACACTAGATGTGCCCCATACAAGTTTTTCATTTTTATACGAGTATGTATTGTAAATATGTGTAAATTGTTATTTTGTATTTAACTTATTTAAGGTATATAATTAATAAATAAAAATGCGGTGACCACTGATCTGATTTACGTTATTTTTCCAAATAGAGGGTCCAAGTATAGTCAGGTCTTCTCCACCTGGTCCTTCCAACGTAGTGGAAGTCTTCCTCTTTCTCTGCATCCCCCGCTGGGTACTGCATCGAATACTCTCAGAGCTGGAGATTTTTCGTTCATTCGATTTTCTCCAAGAGGAGTCTGAAGAAGTCGATCGAAAGGGAGTCGCCTTGTCTGAAACATTGTTTGGTATCGCACACGTTTCTGATTCCTAACGATTCTGATTTCCTACGTGAGTTTACACACCCGTATTAGCTTTGCGGATATACTAAATTCAGATTAAAGAGGTTTGGAATTGACGAAGAAATGGTGTGTATCGATTCTCTTCTCGCGAGTTTTTTCCCAAATTTAGCGCATGGTAAAAATCTGTTCGATAGTAGATTTACCAGGTCAAAAGCCACACTTGTAAAGTCCAGTCAGCTTGTTGACGGTGGGCTTTAATCTTGCACACAATACGCTCGGCAGAAACTCTCTATTTTTATACTCTCGCAACAAAGTTGCTAAAGAGAGTATTATAGTTTTGTTCACATAACGGTTGTTTGTAAGTCCTAAAACTAATAGAGTCAGATATATAGTTATATATACCAAAGTGATCAGGGTGACGAGTAAAGTTGAAATCCGGATGTCTGTCTGTCTGTCCGTCCGTCTGTCCGTCCGTCCGTGCAAGCTGTAACTTGAGTAAAAATTGAGATATCATGATGAAACTTGGCACACGTATTTCGTGGCTTCAT